TCTTGAAGGGGACCCAGAGAACTGGTGGATGGACAAACCAAGGTTACTTGGCCAGGAAGCGGCAGAGACAGACATGAAGCTAAGGTCCAGCTCACGGTGATAAACTGGTTTACCCCCCAACAACCTGCGTGGTGCCAACAGATGAAGAGCCTTTCTACGTGGTGGGCTGTGTCCCAGGAGAAGACATCAATGACAGCTAAGAGCGTCATTGATGAAACCAGTGGGCTTCATTCTGAAGCCAAGGACACAGGGGCTGCTTCCATCATTGTTCCGAGAGAAGCAGCTGGTGTCATCCAGGTGCCCTAAATAATAACTTCCCAGCTTGCCTTTCCAGCTTCGCCCCCCAGCATCCCTCCCAGCCCCTGCCCGCCGCACCCTTCCTGTCTCCCAGTCATGATGTGCTCCTTCATGCCTCTGTGTTAGCACATGCAGTTCCCTGTGCCTGGATGCCATTCCTCCTCCTCCGTCTGTTGAGCCTCCTGGCGCCATGAGTCTCTCTGGGCTCCTCTAGCACAAGTTGAGTCAGTAATTTTAACCCTGTCTTGTTCCCAAAAGGCTTTGAGAGGAAAGTACTTTGCTTATTTCTGTGCTAGTCTCCATTTGTGGCTCCAGATCCACTGTCACTCTTCTCCACCCTGCTCTGTGCCCATCCCTCTGGGTTCAGCCAGCGAGGAGTCCCCCGCCTCCCCGGAAGACTAGAGGGCAGGAGGAGCCAGGGGTCCCCTGGCTGGCTGTGTCCCTCCAAGCACAAGTCTCCTCTCCTCACCTTTCAAGCCAGAGGACAGTAAGGACCCCACTGTTAACTAGCCCCAGCTTCTGCACGCTCCCCTGTGGTTTCTCTGCACCCTGCCCGCACATCTGTAAACAGCCCCTTTATTAAACACGCTTCAGACTCCTGGATTCAGTGGGCTATCTGCTGGTTCCTGCCAACCCTGACTGACATAGCTGATACAGTCCCTTTGAGCACTGTGTGCCTTACAGCTGGCTTGTCCCCCCAGATGTGAGTTCCTGAAGGGAGGGGTCGTGTCTGAACCAGTAGTCATCTCTGTGCCCAGATGCAGTACACAGAAGACATGGGAAGTGTCCTTGACTCAGAAAGCACCAAAGTACCAGTACTGCCACACACGTGGGGTCGAACGAAGGGAGTTGCGTGAAATCGTCCATTCATTCACTTGTTTGTTTGCTCATTCAACCACAAGTGCTCACTGAAGGCCACGTGTACCAGGCTCTGATGAAGACAGACTTCATGGAGCTGGCGTTGCACTGAGGGGAAGCAGGCGTAAACAGGCAAAAGCAAGCACACTCCTCACACCATTTCGGGTGACAGTTCATTCTGTGAAGGAGACAAAGCAAAGCAAAGGGGTACAAAGTGACGGGGTGGAGGTGCAGTTTTAGATACGTGGTTGGGGGCCCACTGGACAGAGAAGGATGTGCAGGAGCCATGTCAGGGGACGCTCGGTGCAAGGACTTTCCACCCAGAGGGACCAGGAGCGAGCAAGGCTGTGGGTGGGAACAACCTCGGTCTATTGACGAACAGCAGGGAAGCCGGGAGGCCAGGTCAGGTTGGGTGCAGGGGAGACTCCTAGGAGTGGGTGGGAACTTGCTTTCTTGTAAGGCCCTTCCAGCTCTGGGATGTGAGAAGAGCCCAGGGCCGGCCAGCAACCACTTCCTGAAAGGTCCAGGAGGACGCCCCATGTGGGGCACACCCCCTTGTTCTCTCAGTCCTCACAATGACCTCATGAGGAGGGTTTTTCTACCCCCATTCCACGCATGAAGAAACTGAGGTTCAGAGAGGTTAAGCAACTTGCCCAAGGTCACATAGAGTCAGAGAAAGAACTGGAAAGGAACCCAGGTCTGCCTGACCTGCAGGCCAGGAGAGGTTTTCCCAGGACCAGCACAGCCATTTGCCAAGGGCTTCCTCATCAATAATATCGGCCCTACAGGGACAGGCTGGCAGGAGAAACCAAAGCTCCAGGCTGGGGGAGGCACATCCCAAGGCCATACGTCAATAGGGAGGGACCTGGGGTCTAAGCCTGGCTTTTTCCACAGCCCCCTACCCTCTGAAAAGGGGAAATGGTAGGTGAGCTGGAAAGCTGTGCCATGCCCGCCCCCTCCACCCCCCGTGCCCGATACATCCAGGGCCAGGGCGCACTGGCTAATGGGTATCATTTCAGCCCTTTCATTTCTGGAGACACTATGCTGTCATAAAGACTGTCATTTCCTGCAAGATGGTCAATGCACTGGCTGCCCGGAGGGCTGGGAACGGCAGTATCTGGGCACGATCGGGAAGATAAAACCATCCTCTCTTTCTCTGCCATTCCAGTCCTTTCCCAAGCAGGTACAGCTCTCGTGTTCCAGAGCATTGGCCTGGGGTCCCAAGAGGCCCCAGATCACTGCATAGTCCCCCCAGCACAGGGAAGAACAGTCCCTCTTAGCCTAGTTTCAACATGTCATAGCCATGTGACCTTGGGCACAGCACTTTCCCTCCCCAAACCTCAATTTCCTCATCTGTAAAATGGGGGCAACTATGTCTGTCTCACAAGGTGGCTTAAGTGGGAGGTTATATCTTAAACCCTTGCCATGTTGGGGTGCTTAAGAATAGTAGCTATGGAAGTGATGGTGCTGGGGGTGATAGTGATGCCTGCCACATTTTGGAAATAGGGAAACTGAGGCCAGAGAAGGAAATGGACTCCCCCAAAGTCACACAGCAAGTCAGTGGCAAAGCTCGGCCTAGAACTTGGGTTTTGAGGCCAGAACCTTTGCTCATTACCATTGACTCATAGGTCAATGGTAATGAGTGAGTTTTGTTGACTCCTTCCATGGGAGGGCACTGTCATGTATTATCTCATTTAATCCCCACAATGCACTGATGAAGTCAGTGTTATTATTATTCCTACTTTGCCGGTAGAAGGTTGCAGCTCAAAGGGATGAGGTGACCTGCCCAAGGTCACACAGCTAGCAAGTAGCGGAGCCTGAGTTCAACCCGGGTGGTCTGTCTGCAGGGGCACAGCTCCAGCCTCCGTGCTGGGGCCCTTGAAGATCAGCTGCTGAGGGTGGAGATCGAGGCTCCCAGCTTTGTGCGCAGACGCCCTTGGCCCTGCCACAGGCTGGCCTATCGTCTCCCCCATCTGATGAGCTGATGAGAACAAGGCAAGCTTAGGTCCCGCTGCCACCCCAAAACCCAGCTCATGGGCCCGGGAAGCAGAACCCCACCCAAGGTTGTCCTCAGAGAGTGTATGCTGTGTGTCCAGTCCTGCCCAGACAGGGAAATTGAGACCTGGGAAGTTTATGGGGTGTTCACAACTCAGGCTGGTGAAGGAAGCCTGGCTCAGCGGCTGGAGGAGTCTGAGAGCAAGAAGTGGGTGGGAGAGGAAGAGGCTGGGGCCTCTGTTCCAAACACCCCAGAGTCTCCTGCTGGCACAAGACCCTGACAGACCTCTAATTCATCATGTTGCTATGCCCTCACAACAGACCTGGAACTTTGGTCCCATTCTACAGGTGGGTATATCAAGGCTCATAGCATCAAAGTGGCTCGCTCAGGCTCACTCAATTAAAAAGAAGAGTGTGGACTTGAGCCCAGTTCTCCCAATGTGCAGGCTACTCTTTTTCCCTTGCTTGATTCATTTCTTGCTGTATCAGCTCTTTTCTCTCTAGGTCCTTTCTCTGCAAATTACCAACTTATCTGCCCTCCCTGTCCCTGATTTGGCTACACTTGACTGTAAGCCTCTTGAAGTCAGGAATCTCTTTTGACTTGCTCCCCTCTATATGCCTGGAGCCTGTCACAGCAATAGGCACAAGGCTAGAAACCAGTGGATGTTTGTTGGATTGTTGAAGGGATTGTAATTGGACTACAATTTTTTAAATTGATGTCAGTGGTCGGCACGGTCAATTTGGAGATTTTTGTTATTATGAAAGGACTCACTTGAGTGATTCATTATGCAAATATAAAGGTGAACAGGGGGAAGTCATGTATTATAAATGTATTTTTTGTTTATTTTTCATTAACAAGACTGCTCCACTTCTTTGGCCTCTCCCATTGCAGAGCACAGGCTCCGGACGTGCAGGCTCAGCGGCCATGGCTCACGGGCCCAGCCGCTCTGCGGCATGTGGGATCTTCCCGGACCGGGGCACAAACCCGTGACCCCTGCGTCGGCAGGCGGACTCTCAAACACTGCGCCACCAGGGGAGCCCTCCACTTCTTGATATATAGGGCTCTGGGGAGTGCTGGACCAATTCGCATAAGGATGCCAGAGGTCTTCTCACAGGGAAGCGTTGGAAATCCAACCCCTGGTCACTGTGGTGTGAACTTAGAAAAATGTGGGTGGACTGGAGTAGCTCTGAGTGAAGTCCAATGGCAGGAGAAAGTCCAGAGGGCTCAAAAGAGAGCTCAGCTGGAGGAGAAGGATGGGCTAGTAATCTGAACTCAACATCAGGGTGAGGACAGAGACACATGGGACTTCAATCAGTTTTTCAGTCAAGGATCATGGTTTATTTAAGGAAAAATACCATCATGAAAGAGACACCAGTCCTCAGCCTTCAGCCTCACTACTGAGCATAGTATGGGCCTGCCTGTGGTTTATACTCTAGGGTTCTGTCCATCTGGTGGACAGGCATCCACCAGGATGTCCAAGACCAGTCTTCAACAGCGCCACCATGTGGCAGGGGCTAAAGCAACAGCACTAGGTGGGGTTTCAGCTTCCTGTCTCTCTCTTTCTGGAGTTTGGAGGCAGGACTAGTCCTCAGGGTTCCGGGATCAGTTCAGGAGAGTGGAGGCCCCTGGATGGATACCGAGTTTCCTGCTAATGAATGCTTAAGATGAGCAATTAGTCAGAAAATTAGGAGGGGTCTTATTGGTATCCTGAGCTGGTGAAGCAGTTATACAAGTTATAGAACAAGTCAGTTTTATCAACTCTGTCACCAGTGACCACAACTATCTATGCTGACAAATACACACAGCAGAGTTCTTTTCTATAGCAGAAAATCTTCAAAATTAATAACAACAACAATTGCACACACATGCATGGCATGCTATAGTTTACGCAGCTCTTATCCATCCTCTTCTCTGAGCCTCACGCCAGCCCTGTGAGATAAGCAGGGCAGAGTAAAGGTCCCCAGGAAACTGAGGCTCAGAGGGGGATAGTGACTTGCCCATGGTCATCATAAAGTCAGCAACGCCTGGTCCTGCCCCTGTTGTGGGGTGCCCAAGCTGCCTCCCAGGAATGCCAGATGCCACTTCCCTACCCTCCCTGCTTACAGCAGCATCAGGACCACTATGGCAATGACCATGAGGACTCCAGCCAGGATGCAAAGGCCCAGGAAGATGATGTCACTGGTGTCCTGGGCCACCATGGCCACGGGGCCCTCCAGTGCCTCTGCCTCGTCCCTGGGTGGTGCCTCCTGAAGGTGCTCTGCCGTGGCAGCATAGGGCCCAAGCCAGTGGGAGCCGGAGAGCAGGTGGACAGAGGCCTCCTTTCGCCTCGGCTCACAGCGGACCTCGTATTCGTGGATATCCTCCTGCCCACCGGCTGAGAAGTCGATGTACAGCACGCTGACGATCACTGAAGTGTTATTTCTTCTCTGTGGGGGCCAAGGGGCACTTGCTCACACCTGAAGGGGCCAGGGCTGACCCTGTTCCCCTGGATATGTAGGCACTGAGTGCCAAGGGGGCACAACTCCAGAGCCTGGTTTCCAGTCCCAGCTTGGCTACTGACTCCCTTCCCACTCAGAGCCTGTGACCCCACCTGTAAAAGAGGCACTACGACGGTGTCTGAAAAGACAATATATATTTGATGGGTCAGTGTTTGCTCTGGCTTGAAGGACGTGGTGTCTATGAAAGACAGTAACAGTAACAACAGGGACATTCGCCATGTTCCAGACTCTGCATTTTAAGGGCATTATCTCATTTAATTCTCACAACAACCTTCTCTTATTGGTACCATTAATATCCCCATTTGCCAGATAAGGAAAATGAGGCCCAGAAGTTAAATCCCTTGTCTGAGGTCACACAGCACACAGTTGACAGGGAACGTATTCTCTTCCAGATCTGCCTGATTCCTAACTGTGCTCTTAGCCATCACACCTCACTCAAACCAAAGACTGCAGAACCAAAGGGGAATTTCAGGACATCTAGTTCAATCTCCCTTCCTTGGCAATTTACAGATGTGGCTACTGAGGCCCCGCAAAGGCAGTAATTTGCCCAGAGCTAGATCCAGAAGCCGAGTCTCCTGCCTCCCAGTTAGATGCTCTGTCCCTGGTGTTACTTGACTTTCCTTATGGAATCGTTTTGCCGAATTATGTCTGCAGCAATTATGTGTCCCCGTGGTTGAGTTCTGTTCAGCCCAGTAGCACCACCCTGGGGTTGGGAAGAGCCATTGAGGAGTGTGATGTGAGGAGCCTGTCACACCGCTGCCCTCCCCACCCCCATGGATGAAGGAGGCAGGACTTAGGACGCCCTGAGACAGTGGAGTGTTTGAGCTGGGGACTGAGGGACAGCATTTTGACGGGCAGTCTGGTGTGGCCTGCATTGGGGGCTGCAGTGATGCTGGGCTACTCTCCCCACCCACCCCTAATCTAGAGCAGCCGTTACACTCCTCAGGCCGCCCAACTGCCCCTGTCCAGTCATGGCTCTTCTGAGCTGAGGCTTCTCTAAAAACCAAAGCTGCCTAGAACAGAGCAAACGGGCGTTGACCTGCAAGAAGCTGCCATCGTTGGACACTGGGTGGTCCTTTTGGGGAAGGCAGTGAAGGGGAATCACGGATCTGGAGTTTCATGGACCAGATGACCTTGTGGGTCTCTCCCAACTCTGGGCTTCCAAAAAGCTCTGAGTCCATGTCCCCAGAGGAGCCTCCTGCATTGTGCCCTCAGCCTGTCTACCACCACACCCTCTGAGGAGAACCGGTGTCCTGGACTTTTGTGACACAGAATCGGAAAAAGAAAGACAGAACCTGGGAGTGGAAGGGGACCCAGTGAAAGGGCCGAAGTGAATCCACATAATAAAGAAGGGAGGGAAAAATCACACAAAACAGGTGTGCGGGGAAGTTTCATGGGTTTTTGATGAGTGAGACTTGAGGAGGAAAGAAAGTCCACACAAATGTGGTGTTACGGTTATGAAATCAAGTCTCTGTGGTTCTTAAGAGATGCACAGATAGGCTGTCATGGCTTTTGGCCATTTGAACTGTGCATCTTTGAAAGCAACTCAATGCAGAGATTGGTCCTCATGCGTCTAGGACTTATAAGTGTTACGCTAAGAATCCATGAGTCTGAGGCTCTCAGTTTTTATGTTTCCATGATATTGATGCCAAGATTCTATGATTATGTGGCTCCAGGTTCTATTGGTGGTTCTGTGACTTTGAGACCTTGAGTGTCTGTGAGTTCTTTGTTCTAGATTTCATGATTCCTTGCTTCTGGGGTTCTCTGTCTCCATCATTTTATGACTCTATGGAACGTGGTTCGGCCCCCAGAGAAAACCCCAAGGGGATTTAGGGCATGGTGTAGAGGTGAGGGCAGATTATCTTGGCAGCTAAGACTGACTCCCACTTCTCCTCTGCTCAGGTTAAAAGGATGATGGCCGCCAGGAGGCTGGGGAAGCAGAGGGTGGACTGGAGGGGCCAGAGGCATACATTCGGCTAATGTTGGGTGGTGGGGAAATACGGTTGCTGGAAAGCACGTGATTTCTGCCAAGACAGTCTAACGAATCCCCAGATTCGTCACCAAGGCTGGGGTGTTGTCCCCGATGGAGACCACTGTGCCTTCTCCGCCTTTCCCCTTCCCAACCTGTCCCTGAGAATCCAAACATCCAGGGTTCCTGGGCCACTACCAGGTGACTCTGAGGGCCCCAAGCCTGGGTTCTAGGCCTCCGAAATACAAGGTTAGTAGAAAAACTTCATTTGTACACCTCGCTGCGTTTGGAGGGAGATGGATCCTGTCTCTTGAAGGGCCCCTTTGTTTTGCGGAGCCCAGCGATGGATTTGGATCACAAGGTTGGGGAGGGGGTGGGCAGCAGGCAGCAGCGCTCAAACAGGTCTGTGCATTAGAGGGGTGGGGACCGGGTGGCCCTGGGGAGCTCCAGTGGGGAGGGGGGGCAGCAGGAAGGCCCCCAGGAACAGTCAGTTCACAGGACCTTGAGGGAGGGGCCTCCAGTAGGGGCTTTTGGTTGTCGCCAGCTTGTGCAGCAGGACACCCCTTCTCTGTCTCCCCTACCTGAGTTCTTTGTTGTGTCTACACTGAGCAAGTTTGTTGAGGTAAAATCAATAGGGGCTGAGTTCTGCATCCAGGCTGGTGGGGTGACCAGAGCCAGGAAGAGAAGCTGAATCCTCAGGTCTGGCAGGTGCCTCTCCCCAGGGATCAGAGCCCCTCCCTCGTGCCCTCCCTCCTCCCCCAGCCCCTACCTGAGACTCAGTGCCACAGGTGTCAAAGCGGGCCTGGATCCGGAAGTTGCTGCCGACTTCCTGAGCAGCACAGCTCCGGCTGCCCAGGTAGACTTTGGTCCTTTCTAGAGGGGCCACTGCCTGCGCGGAGATCAGGATCTGGAAGTCCGTGCGGGAGCAACTCACGTTCATGGGGACCACTGAGGATGGATGGAAATGGGGAGCTGGAGGCCATGGGGGCAGGCGGTCTGACCCCCACCCTCTCCAAGCCCCTATCCAAAGGGTGGTGGATGGAAAACCGAGGCCCAGAGAGGGGATGGCTCTTAAGCAGTCCTACGAGGACGTTTTACACGCGTTACTCCATTTAACTCCATCAAACTATGAGCTCCAGGGCAGACCCCGTGCCTACTTCTCAGCACCCTCTGAGCCCAACACAGAGCTTGGCAGGTGCAGTGAATACTGAATAAAGGACTGACTGACCGAATGAATGAATGTTCTTATCATAATGAAATCTATTATTGGCTGATCATGTTTGCCATATACCAGGCGATTCATTCAATCATTTAACAAGTATTTGTGGCCCACTATGTGCAGGCGCTATTCTAAACACCAGATACAGAAATGAAAAGAGAAAAACCAGCCACAAATGCCTACCCTCTTGGAGCTTACATTCTAGTTGAGTGAGGAGGCAGTAAATACGTAAGATACACCTAAGCGTCAGAGTAGTCTGAAGGAAAATCAAGCAAAGAAGAAAGACGGGGAGCAGGGAGAGCAGAACGTGTGTGGGTAAGGGTTGCAGTGGCTGCAGTTTGAAAAGGGTGGTGAAGGAAGCCCCATTCTCCCTCCTCATGATGACGCCTTGAGGTGGACATGACTAAACGCATTTGAAAGTTTTGGAACCCAGAGCTCTGAAAGGTGGCTAGGACAGGATTCTAATCATTGCGTCTGTAAGATCCCACAGTTCCTGGTCTCTCCACCTTATGTGGTGGCCCCCTGCAGCCCCTCCCAGCCAGGCCTGTGTGACTCTAAGTGTCTGGGATCGTGCGAGCCTGTGTGTGTGTGTGAACGCGTGTGTGTACGGAGGCAGTGCTTGCTGGGGCAAGGGTGAGGGTAGGGGGAAGGAAGCTGGGTGGCTGGCGGGAGGAAAAGGAAAGAGCTGGTAGGCAGAGGCCTGGAAATCTCAAACCCTCTCTGGGAAATGCCTCAGACATATTTCAGCCTCTGGTGTCTGGGCAGTCGGGGATTTATGGGCCCACCGTCTCCCACGATGATCTTGGTGATGCTGAACTGTGTGTCACCCCTGATTGATGCTGAGGTTGTCCTCCAGCCGGGAGGCCGCCTGCAGCCTGGGCCACATCTGGAGCCTGGCCCAGCACTAGTGCCGTGTCTGACCCTGGGCTCCCACAGCCATCGGGGAGGTGTCTCTGGAGGCACCAAATGGGGAAGGAGCATGTCCAAGATCACACACAGCTGGGAGAGGACCCAGGCCCAGAAGTAAGATCATCAGAGCAAAAGGGACTTCTCAGCTCCTTCAGCTGATATTTTCATTTTACTGAGACCCGCAGAGAGAAAGCGACTTGCCAGCTAGCTGTGGCAGAGCCCCATGGCACCTGGCTCTCTGAGTGCACTCTGGGAAAGGGGTCGCTCTAACAGAGGGACAGCTCTCCTCCAGGTTTATGGATGGAGATAACTGAGGCCCACAGAGGGAGCGTCTGCCCAGGTCACTTTGCTGCCCCTAGCTTGCTGCAGCTCTACTGTTTCCTTCACCATTGCTGGGCCCCCAAACTCCTCTTGCACATGGGTAAGGAAAGAGAAAGAAGGACTTCCCTGGTGGCACAGTGGTTAAGAATCCTCCTGCCAATGCAGGGGACACGGGTTCGAGCCCTGGTCCAAGAAGATCCCACATTCTGCGGAGCAACTAAGCCCATGCACCCCAACTACTGAGCCTGCGCTCTAGAGCCCACGAACCACAACTACTGAAGCCCGCATGCCTAGAGCCCATGCTCTGCAACAAGAGAAGCCACTGCAATGAGAAGTCTGCGCACCACAATGAAGAGTAGCCCCCGCTCGCTGCAACTAGAGAAAGCCCGTGCGCAGCCACGAAGACCCAATGCAGCCAAAAATAAATGAAAGAAAGAAAGAAAGAAAGAAGAAAGAAAGAAAGAAAGAAAGAAAGAAAGAAAGAAAGAAAGAAAGAAAGAAAGAAAGGAAGGAAGGAAGAAAGGAAGAAAGGAAGAAAGAAAGGAAGAAAGAAAGAAGAGGAAAGACTTTTGTTTTTTGGTTGTGCTGTGTGGCATGCAGGATCTTAGTTCCCTGACCAGGGATCAGACCTGTGCCCTCTGCATTTGGAGCACGGAGTATTAACTACTGGACCACCAGGGAAGTCCCGAGGAAAGATCTTCTGAATGCAGACCAGGACTGAGACACATAAGGGAAAGAAATCCACACTCAGCAAGGATGCCCTCAGAGGCAGGCACTGTGACCTGTGTTACCTCATTTCATCTTAACGACCACCTGTCTAGAGCATCCATCAACTCCTCCTACAGGTGAGCACCATTGGATGGTCAGTAAATGGCAGCATTTGGATGTGGCCCCCGTCCGTCTGAGCTCAGTCCTGGGCCTCCTCCCCAGGCCCTGCTTAGCCACACAAAAGGCAAGGGTGTGAGTTCTAGCCTTGGCTGTGCCACCCACTGCCCGTGTGACAGCAGTGAAAGTCGTTTCCTCTCTGCACCTCTGTTTCCGCACCTGCACAACAGGAGGCTCTCGCCTAGTCAGGCAGAGGGCAAAATGGGTCCAGAGCACAGGCATTTCTGGGACCGTGGCCCAGGGAAGGGTGAGGAGAGGGGGGGATAGATGATAGCTGCTGTCAGCTGGCAAATCTAACTAGCACTATGGAGGATGGAAAAGCTGAGTGCCAAGTTCCCTAGCCAGCTCTTCAGCTAGGCATGGCCATATGACCAAGTTCAAAATAATGAGAACAAGAAGAAGTCTTTTGAGGGCTTCTGAAAATGCATTTACTTTCCTGATAAAGGAACATTTGTGGCTGGCACCTCCCCTACCTTCTTCCAGCCTTGAACATGGACATGATGCCTGGAGTTGTGGCAGCCATCTTGTGGTCATGAGGTCAAGAGAATCCCAGACATATCAGCTGGGACACTGTTGAGTCCCTGAACCAATACAGCAGCTGCCTAGCTCTAGGCTTCTTGTTATGTAAGAAAACCAAAGGTCATTTTTTCAAACCACTGTCAGTCAGGACTTATGACTGTACAAGCAAGGTTGGTCAGCATCTCCATAATTATATCAATTGTTTTCGATAAATAGTATTACCATATCTTGTGTATTACCCCTGGATACAGAGGATTAATCATAGTACAAGAGAGGCCAGGGGCCCATGGAGGAAGGTGACAGATAGGGAGGAATTAAGAATTGTGGATTTAGAGGCTGGAAGAACAGGGCACTGTAATAGTGAAAATAAGCAAGGGCCACATTGATATAGCCTCAGAGGTCCCAGGGCGGGAGTCCACAGTGGTGCAGCCAACCGAGAAGTTGGTGAGATGGAGGAAGGAGGCTGCAAAGACCAGGAACCCCGGCCTCACCTTCCTCCACCAGCACACCCATACCCTCAACCCCAGCTGACCTCCAATGTAGGCCACAGAGAAGCCCCTGCGGGTGGTGCTACGGTCTGTGTGCAGCAGAAGCAGGAGCTGGTTGTGGCTCGAGGTGACTGGTGGTGGCAGGTGGTGGCCACACCAACTGCCCAGCAGGGGCGCCTCCTCGCTGGCCCCGTCGAAGGCTGCCAGATGGTCAAAGTCACAGGTCTTGGTCAGGCTGTTGGGCCCCTCCAGTTCCAGGTCCAGGAAGAACACTTTGACCCGGTAGCCAAGAGGCAGGCGGATGGTCCAGTGGCACCGGATGTGGTTGGGGTAGGAGCTGGGGTACTGTGGGCTGGAGAAGTTGCCCCGCACCGCCGTGTATACCTCCTGGCATTCTCCTGGGTTGGGGAGAGCAGGACAGAAGGAGCAATGGTGAGAAGGGTGGAGACTGTCACCCTCTGCAGCTACAGCTTGGGCAGTAGGCGCTATAGGGTCCTAAAACCACCCTGGCAGGTTGTGGGCACCATGGCCAGAAAACCAGACAACTGATCCCAAAGCCTGCTTTAAACTGAAACTAGCTGAAAGCTGAGACTGTCATTCCAATTGGTAAACCATTTCATGAGTGTTGACCCTGATAGGAATTCAGTAACAATGCCTAATACCTCTCCTCGGAGTTGAGTCCAACTTGGACTTGACAGACAAGGTGGTTCATGACGTGACCTTGCCCTTTTTCTCCCTGCCCCTCATCCAGCCCTACCTTCCAGCCTCACCAAATATTTCCTAGTAGTAAAGCACACAAACCCTCTCTGTCCTCCGTGCCTCTGCACATGATGATCCCTCTGCTTGGAACACTCTTCCCTTTCTTCTGCCACTGGCTAACACCTTCAAAGCACTGCTCAGTTCTCTCCTCCTCCAGGAAGTCATCCATGATTCTTACTGTTAGACAGCACAGATCACAGTGCATTGTCATTGTCTGTTTCCTTCTCTATCTCCTCCACTAGACAGTTTAATTCCCAAGGGTTCATTCATTCATTCATACAGACATTAATTGAATACCCTCTATGTAGCAGGTACAAAGATAAGTCCATAGGAACTCACAGTCAAGCAGAGAAAATCAGCATGCAAACCAGGTACAGAAGTGATGTGTTAGAGCATCGCTATGAGAAAACTTCTCTAAGGAGTTGAAGGAAGGGAATAATTCTGAGTGAATCAAGGAGGCTTCCCAGAGGAGGTGACATGCTTGTGCCTTGGCATCGGCCAGACGGGAGAGGGTGTGCTAGAACATTTCAGGCAGAGAAACAGCAGGAAGTGTAAGGCCCAGAGGCAGAAGAGTACAACCCCTCCCCACCCAGCCGCAGGCGTGATGGGGAGGCAGGAGCCCAGCACACACAGGGCACTCAGGGTGTAGCTCCGGCCCTCCTACCTGAGAAGTAGTAGGCCTTGAAGCCCCGGCCCCCGATGTTAAAGTCAGACTTGAAGACCACCTGCAGCTCGTGGCCCAGCGACACGAGCGTGGGGGGCCTGGAGCTGCCGCAGTAGTGGTGCCCATGGGCGGGGCCGGGCCCTCCAAGCACAGCCACGTAGTCGTAGGTGCACTGCTCACTGCCCTCCACCTGGAAGTCCACGAAGACCAGCTTGACGGTGGCGGGGCCAGAGGCTCGGATCACCCAGCGGCACTCCACATTGTTGGGGTAGTTGTTGGGGTGCTCGGGGCTGGTGAGGACCCCCGACAGGCCCGTCAGGACGCCACCACACACATCTGCAAGGGAGCCTGCTTGAACCAAACTTTCTCCCTCCTTGTGGCTCCCCCATCTCCTCCTTTGGGAAATGCCACGCCCACAGGTGTTCACGGGATTCTTGTCAACATCCACTGAGCGCTTGGTAAGTGACAGGCACAGGCCATCTTTCTAGGCCATCACCATAACCCCATGAGGAATGCACCATGGTTTCCCCCGTTTTACAGCTGAGAGACTGGAGGCAGAGAGAAGTTAAATAACTTACTTGTGTGAGTTGGGCTTCACCCAGACTGAGCCCGAGACAAGGATTTGAGCCCAAGTAGTTTATTTGGGAGAGACAGAGGACCGCAGATGGGCAGTGAGGGAGAGAGGGTGGGGGAGCGGGGTCATTCCCCAGAATCGAGGCTGAGGGCCGCTGGGGGTAGAGGTGACCTGCCAAAGCTTCAGAAAAAGCCCTGAAGCAAAGAGATGTGGAGATTGGCAAGAGCCATTGCAGTGGCAAGGTCCCAAGGGACAGGGCAGGACCCTGACAACAGGTCATCCCCTGGTATCAGGGAGGGCAGGATTTGACTAACTTCAGAGTCTGTGCATTTGACCTTATCAGTCTCACTGTCCCCTCCTACCAGGCTAGTGGAGCATAGAGGCTGAGGTACCTGAGACCAGGAACATTATCAAATCTCCCGAACAGATGAGGAAACTGAGGCTTAGAGGGAGGATCTGAAGGAGTAGAGATGGGCTTGAAGTCTGAAGACAGGTCTCCTCTCAGCTCAGTCTTCTGAGGGCACTGTACCATGGGCGAGTAACTCAGCCTCTCTGAGCCTCATGGGAATATTAGAAATCATGAGACCTGTTCAGACTGATCCACAGGCTCAGACGCATGCAGAGTTTAATAAGTTTCTGGTGAAAGCCCTTTGGAGCCCAGTGTAGCCAGTACAACTGGGAGCTAGGTGATAATGAATGCCAGGACTAGCTGGAGGCCACCAGCAGGGAGGGGCACAGTCGGTTGTGTCTCCTGAGACTCCAGAATCTCACTGCATGGCATGGCTGTGTGAATGGAGCACTGTGCCGGGCGGCTAAGGCCTTGACTTCTTGTCCCAGTTTCCCCTTCCCAGATGTGTGACCTTGGGAAGGCACATTCCCTCTTTGGTCTCAGGTGTATTGTTGTCAAATGAGAGGGCAGGTTTTGACAGTCTGTGAGATCCCATCTGCTGTCAATACCCTTAGCAGAGACTTTCAAAATGTGATCTGGGGCTCCACGGCTCCACGGTAGCCCCAGGGCATCTATTTGCAGACATCTGCTGTAAATGTCCTTCTTTTTCTGTATTCAAACTATTTTTTAATTCAATGAAAGATAGCATCCACAGTCACATATCTTATATGTAATAATTTAACTAATCGGAGGCCATCAATATTTACTTATGCTTTCAATGATTGGCTTATAATAAGTAAATGTTAAAAATACGAACTTATAAATGCTTACAACAAAAATGCTGCCTTTGGGGCTTCCGTGGTGGCGCGGTGGTTAAGAAGCTGCTTGCCAATGCAGGGCACACGGGTTTGATCCCTGACCCGGGAAGATCCCAAATGCCACGGAGCAACTAAGCCCGTGTGCCACAACTACTGAGCCGTCGCACCACAACTATTGAGCCCTTGTGCCACAACTACTGAAGCCCATGCGCCTAGAGCCTGTGCTCCACAACAACAGAAACCACAGCAATGAGAAGCCCACGTACCGCAAAGAAGAGTAGCCCCCGCTCACCACAACTAGAGAAAGGCCACGCACATCAACGATGACCCGATGCAGCCATAAATAAATAAATAAAATTTATTTTTAAAAAATGCTGCCTTTATCTCTTTTACATATCAGGGATTAACATAAGGTTCCATTTGATATAAGGGTACTCCTGTTTTAAAAAATATTAGAAAACATTGCACATGGTATTATAACTTTGATACCCTAAGAGTCTAAAAATCTAGGGATCTAAAACTCCACTGCTATGATTAGATCGGTCTGTGGTTCTGGTGTTTTACCATTCTACAATACTATGCCTCCAAAGCCAGTGGGAGCTGGCGTCTGGCTTTGGAGGCATAGAACTGTGTGCACCCTCGTCCCGGCCCTGATTGCTGTTGGTGAACCCTGCGCACCAGGAGCCTCTGTGGAGCCTACTGCTTGAGCTGTTGTGAGGAAGGCCTTTGGTTTTGGCTTTGGGAGAAGGTAGGAGGTCTGAGTCTGTGCAGAGAAGCCTGAGGAAAGAGGAATGAGTCAAGGAGAAAGAAAGGCAAGGAGGGTGAAGCCTCTGCTCCCCTCACTAGCCTGAGGGGTAGGCTCCAAGCCTGGCTGGGGGAGGGAGGGTTTAGGGACCACGATATAGGAGGCGAGCTCAGGAAAGGCTTTGGGAGGGAGAGCGTCACCAGCTCCATGCAGACGCTCATGCACCTTCCACTCCGAGGACATGATGGGGAGGGGGAGAGAATCCTGTGCCCGTGACATGAGATGCCACAGAGGGATCAGCAGCAGTGGCAGCACGGTGTCCCCTCCGGTGTCCCCTCCAGTGTCCTGATGCCATGTGTGGGGTGAGAAGGACAAGGATAGGAGAGCACGAGAGGCCTCATTCCTGAGCACAGTGAGACCCTCCGAGGACTCCCAGAATAACGGAGGGATACGTGGGGAGTGTTGCCATGAAGGTGGGAACACACAACCACCAAGACTACCAACAGAAAAAAAAAAACACTACCAACAGAGGCTGCCTTTGCCCCGTGAGCTATGAGAGCAGGGGCATCCAGGTTACAGAAAGCCTACACGCTAAGATGCTGAGACCCTGCCCGTCACCTTACCCCGCCGCCCTCCCCCCATCCCCACCCAGGGCCACCCTCTCCACTGCCAAGTCCCCCTTGCCTTTCTGGTAGCCTGCGGAAAAGCCTCGGCTGGCCACGTGCTTGTCTGAGTGGAAGACCACAGACATGACGTTCCAGGAGGAGGCGAAGGGCGGTGGGGGCACCTGGCCGCAGAATCTCCCCAGCAGGTTGCCCTGGTCCCCGGAGGCCCCGTTGTAGATCTCCAGGAAGTCGAAGCTACAGGTGTCATGGTACTCCAGGTCGAAGGTGTGGAAGGTGAGCAGCACGGAGGAGCCCTCAGCTACCACAATCAGCCAGATGCACTCCGTGTTGTAGGGGTAGAGCCTGGGGAAGTTGGGGCTGGAGAAGTTTCCAGAAGGTGCTGAGAGCACACCCCCACATTTGACACCTGTGGTGAGAGGCAAGAATGTCTCAGAGTCAGCCCTGGGGTCGTGGGTAGTGGCCCAGCTCCAAAGCGGGTTCTTTGGGATGGGATGAGGCAGCATGAGGTCATGGCCCTAAGTCAATTCACTTATTCATGTAGCTGTTCATTCATTTACTTATTCTTCAAATACTTGCCAAACATGCTTTTATTCATTCAAGAAATACTGTTTGAGTGCTAAGCATCGTTTTAGGTGCTGGGGTTACAGCAGGAACAAGTAGACTAAAATTCTGGTGGGGAAGACAAACAATAAAGATAATAAGGAAAATATAGAGTGTATTAACTCGTGATAAGTGATCTGGAGAAAAATAAAGCGGGAAAGGAGACAAGAAGTGTCAGGTGGGACTATAATTTTAGATAAAATAATACCAAATGCTAGGCACTAGAGATGTGCACTGGGGAATTCGAAAATTAAAAATAATATTACCTGCTCCCATCCTGAGTGAAAATGCGCACAGAGTACTACAAAGTTAAAACTACATTCTTTTTTATTATTATTTATTTATATTTTTGGCTGCGTTGGGTCTTTGTTGCCGCGCACGGGCTTTCTCTAGTTGCGGCGAGCAGGGGCTACTCTTTGTTGCAGTATGCGGGCTTCTCATTGCAGTGTCTTCTTTTGTTGCAGAACCCGAGCTCTAGGCGCGCAGGCTTCAGTAGTTGTGGCACGTGGGCTCAGTAGTTGTGGCTCGCGGGCTCTAGAGCTCAGTAGTTATGGCACACGGGATTAGTTGGTCCGTGACATGTGGGATCTTCCTGGACCAGGGTTCGAACCTGTGTCCCCTGCATTGGCAGGCAGATTCTTAACCACTGCGCCACCAAGGAAGTCCCCAAAACTACATTCTTATATGTACATATTTGCTTATATTTTGAAAACAATGGAAGGAAACTAATAAAAATTGTTCTCTGACACAGGAAGATGTAAGCCAAGGGGAGGAAACAGGCGCGACCGCTAGACCTCTTTAAACGCAATTTATTTGATAATTTTATAATCATGAGTAATTTTTTTTTTTTTTTTTTTTTTTTTTTTTTTTTTTTTTTTTTTTTTTTTTTTTTTTTTTTTTTTTTTTGTGGTACGCAGGCCTCTCACTGCTGTGGCCTCTCCCATTGCGGAGCACAGGTTCCAGACGCGCAGGCTCCGCGGCCATGGCACGGCATGTGGGATCTTCCTGGACCGGGGCACGAACCCCTGTCCCCTGCATCGGCAGGCGGACTCTCAACCACTACGCCACCAGGGAAGCCCAATCATGAGTAATTTTTAATATAATTTTTAAATTATCAAAAATATTTAAGTAACCCATATGCCAAACTAAAACAAATAAGCTTAACTATATGTCAAGTTGGAGGCACATTCACATGGGAAAAATGATTTCAAACAATGTTGAAATACACTATTTTGACTGTACCTTCCTAGTGGAATAGATCCCAAGAACAAAATGAAACACAAAGAAATATTAAACTATATTCAGTAGACTTACTATTAGTGGTAATAGTGAATACTGTTATTTTACAATATTTTATATATTGGAGTAAAGGAAGTATGTTAATGTCAATAGAAACTAAGATTTGCAGTGTAAGAGGAGAGCAATACAAGTATAGAATTAAAAAACTAAGCAGAACTCTTGAGATCCTTAATTTGAATTGAAAACATCAGTACGAATTTGATTTATTTTTATTTCTAAAAATATTAATTTCCTAGCTTTGTTCATTAAAAACCCTAAAAGCGGGGCTTCCCTGGTGGTGCAATGGTTGAGAGTCCGCCTGCCGATGCAGGGGACACGGGTTCGTGCCCCGGTCCGGGAAGATCCCACATGCCGTGGAGTGGCTGGGACCGTGAGCCATGGCCGCTGAGCCTGCGTGTCCAGAGCCTATGCTCTGCAACGGGAGAGGCCACAACAGTGAGAGGCCCGCATACTGCAAAAAAAAAAAAAGAAAAAAAACCCTAAAAGCAATGATATCCTGGTAGTATTTGTACCACTTGGGCTTAGATTAGGATTATTACGTCCAACTAAATTAGATTAGGATCGTTATGTCTAACTAAAATGAAGCAGGGCTCCTTAAAGAAATAGTCTAGGGCAGTAAATATACAAAATACACTTGGGATATCTTGTCACACCAGAAAGTAAAGAAACTATTGGAACTGCTGGGATTGTGTCAAAAGACACAGAAACATTCTTGAAGGGGCTCCCACTGGCTAAAGAAGGTATAATTTGAGCTTCAAAAAAATTTATTGCAGGGACTTACCCGCGGTTCTGTGGTTAAGACTCTGTGCTCCCAATGTAGGGGGCGCAAGCTCGATCCCTGGTCGGGGAACTAAGAGCCCACATGCCGCCGGGAGTGGCCAAAAAAAAATTTATTGCAGTGGGTTGAAACCCATCAAATATATAAAAATGAATGAATTCATAATACAACTAAAAGAAATTAAAAAGGAACTTATTGATTTCCTTTAGAGATTGCTCGGGCACGAACTCGTTTTCTTCTTGCTACATGAAGAAAGAATTAAGCATTTACTTTGCCTTTCCTGTTACAAACGATATATATCAGGATAACCAAATAGCTGATGAAGAAAAATTGTTATTTAAAGAAGACTACAGAAAGAATAACAACATTAGAAAAACATAACTTTGCAAACCTTAATGGAATCATCATTATCGTTGTCTGTTCTAATCACTGAGAAAAAAGGTAAATGATGAGAGGTAAAACCTAGTTGGTTGAGTAGGTAAATATTTTCTGTAAAATTCTTTCACCTTTGCTAATGTTTGAAAATTTTTATAATTAAAAAATGCCAAAAAATTTACCTTTATAGGGAACTTTATAATGGATGGATCAGGCTAACAGCCCCTGAACTCACTGACAATCTCAAGGTCAAAGTGAAACACTGAATAATCAGTGCCCTGATGAAACACCTGTAACATCTTCTTGGGGGGGAAAAAAAGGAACCTTAATCTAATGGAGTCTCTGGATCTGTCTACAAGTTAGAGTGAATATGGAAGCTAGAGGAACAATCTAAATGACACCGTGAGGACACATTCAGTCAAGTCCAGAATGTGGGAAATTCTAATGACCCAGGTGCTTCAACAGTAAATAAGGTGGTGGGGGGAGACACAACTGTTATATTAAAAAAGACTCAACTAGAAGAAAACATAGGAGGTAAGCTCCTTGACATTGGTCTTGGCAATAATTTTTTGGATTTGACACCAAAGGCAACAAAAGCAAAAATAAACAAGTGGGACTACATTGAATGAAAAGCTCTGCACAGGAAAGGAAACCATCAATAGCGACTTCCCTGGTGGCGCAGTGGTTAAGAATCTGCCTGCCAATGCAGGGGACACGGGTTCTGAGTCCTGGTCCAGGAAGATCCCACATGCCATGGAGCAACTAAGCAGGTGTGTCACAACTCCTGAGACTGTGCTCTAGAGCCCGCGAGCCACAACTACTGAGCCTGCAAGCCACAACTACTGAAGCCTGCGCACCTAGATCCCCTGCTCCACAACAAGAGAAGTCACTGCGGTGAGAAGCCCGCGCACCTCAACGAAGAGTAGCTCCCACTCGCCGCAACTAGAGAAAAGCCCATGTGCAGCAGAGAAGACCCAACACAGCCAAAAATAAATAAATATAAAGAGGAAGGCTTTCAACACTTCACCATTAAAAAAAAAAAATGAGTAGAGGACTTCTCTGGTGGCACAGTGGTTAAGAATCTGCCTGCCAATGCAGGGGACACGGGTTCGAGCCCTGGCGCGGGAAGATCCCACATGCCGCAGAGCAACTAATCCCACGCTCTACAACTACTGAGCCTATGCTCTAGAGCCTGTGAGCCACAACTACTGAGCCCCGCATGCCTAGAGCCCACGCCCCGCAACAAGAGAAGCCTGTGCACTGCAACAAAGAGTAGCCCCCACTCGCCGCAACTAGAGAAAGACCGTGCAGCAACGAAGACCCAACGCAGCCAAAAATAATAAATAAAATAAATTTAAAAATGTAAAATAAAAATAAAATGAGTAGAGAAACTGAATAGGCAGTTTTCCAAAGAAGGCATACAGATGGTCAACAGGTACATGAAGGTGCTCAACGTCACTAATCATCAAGGAAATGCAAATCGAAACCTCCGTGAGATGTCACCTCCCATCTGTTAGGATGGCTATTATGTGAAAGGCAAGAGAGTAGCAAGTGTTGGCAACGATGTGGAGAAAAAGGAACCTTTGTGCACAGTTGGTTGGAATGCAAACTGGTGCAGCCTCTATGATAAACAATATGGAGGCTCCTCAAAAAATTAAAAATAGAACTCCATATGATCCAGCAATTCCACTTTGAGTATATTTCAAAGGAAATGGAAACAGGGTATCAAAGAGTTATCTGCATTCCCATCTTCATTGCAGAATTATTCACAACAGCTGAGATATGGAAACAACCTAAGTGTTCATCAACAGATGAATAGAGATACATATGACATGGAATATTATTCAGCCTTGAAAAAGGCTACTATTTGCAGCAACATAGATAGACCTTGAGGGCGTTATGCTAAGTGAAACAAGCCAGACAGAGAAAGACGAATACTGCATGGTATCACTTATATGTGGAATTTAAAACGTCAGACTCATAGAAACAGAGAGTAGAAAAGTGGTTGCCAGGGGAGAAGTCGATTAAAAAAGAGAGAGAGAGACTGAGAGAGAGAGAGAGAGTGAGGGAGGGAGACTTGAGTCAAATATCAACCAAAAGCAATGTGTGGACCTTGTCTGGTCTGAGTTGAAAAAAAAAATTGCAATGGGATTTTTTTTTTTTTGCCATAATGGGGAAAATTGAACATGAACTGAGTATTAGGTAAAATTAAAGAATTATTATATCATTATAAAAATATTGGGAATATCTATCTATCTATATATCTGTTAGATATACTCTGAAATATTTATGGGTGAAATAGTGTGATATCTGAGATTGTCTTTAAGTTTCTCCGATCTGCCCCCCTAAAATGGGGGTAGGGGTAGGATAGAAGAGCCAAGAAAGGCAGAATGTTGATAACTGTTGAAGATGGTTGATGGAGACATTGGGATTTATTATACTATTTTCTCCACTTTGTGTGTGAAAATTTTCATAGTTAAAAGTTGAAAAAAATGACCTTCTCAGTGAGGCTTTCCCCAACCATCATATTTACAAATGAAACCCTCTCCCCATCCCTGTACCCCTTCTCTCCCTTTTCTGCTTTATTTTCTCCATAGCACCCATCACTGTCAAATGTACTATTTATTTCCTTGTTTGTTTGGTTCACTGCCAAGTCTCTCTCCACAAAACTGTAAGCTCTATGAGAGCAGGGATTCTCGTCTGTTTTATTCTCTGCTGTCTCCCAAGCACCTAGAAGAGCTCCTGGTACAAAGCAGGTGCTCAGTGTATATTTGCTGAGTGAATGAATCAGTGAACAATCTTATATCATCCTCACAATATCCCCATAAAATAGGCAGCACAGGTGTTATTGACTCCATTTAACAGATGAGAAAACTGAGGCCCAAAAAGGGAAGTTACTGCTGTAGCTGACATCTCCTGATTTGTTCCATCCAGCCCTCATTCCTTCACCTCTTGCAAGAACATGCCCTCAATTTTAGACACTGCTCCCTTCCCTTGCCTCCATGTGGTAACCCTCCCTCGTCTTTCCCAGGCCCACAGGAGGACACAGGATCCTAGCTGGGCAATCCTGGGGCCCCCAGCACTGCCACAGCGACTGGCCTGTGGGGTGCGCCTGTGCCACCAGAGTCCTGCTGCTGAGTGCCTGGATGAGAACCCTTTCCTCCCTGGTACCTAAGCTGGGAGTGAGAGCCCTGGGTGGACCCTGCTCAGGGCCCATTGAGAGAGCTTGTCAGCAAATGGCAAGAACCATGTGAAAAGAGGAAATGGCCCAGAACCCAAGCTGCCCAACTCAGCTATACTCCCGCCTCCCTGGCACCAGCCACTGCATTTCTCTTCTTGCTTAAACTCATCCAGATTAGGTTTCTGTCCCTTGCAACCAGAAGCATCCTGAAGAATATACTTAACCGAAGTTCCTGTAAGAGGCATATTTGCCAAGCACGTGCCCTGTACGGGCCTGTGCTGACTCATAACGGGCCCCTTCCTGGGGAGTTCCCAGTTGTGCGGTAAGATGGGGGGAGTTAGGCAAATGAGACAAAGCCATGTGGCGTGATTGTGCTGGGGCCACACGGGCTCTGGGGTCCAGAGGGAGGGGGGGCAGTCTTGCCAGGGCCAGCACTGTTGGGGGAGGGACACAAGGGAGTTGATGTTTGAGTTTGGCTAGAAGGAGCAAGAAGACTTTGTGAGTTGGGGAAGATTTGGAGGGAGGAAATGGCATGAATAAAGGCTCAGACTCACAATCACTTAGCCTACCTGAGCCTCAGTCACGCATCTGTGAAATGGGGATAATGACCTTGCTGGGCGGCTGTGAACACGGATGAGAGAAAGCAGTGCAGAGGCTACAAGATGCACACCCAGTTCACATCAGGGCTCCCTGCCTGGCCCTGGGGACAGGCCAGGGCGGGAGCAATGTCTGACTCATGCCTCTATGGCAAGAGGACAGAGGGACATCCTGTTCACTGCCTGTCCTTGTCCTTCCCCCAGCCTTGCCCACTGGACGGGAAAAGCCGTGAGAAGGTTGGAGCAGAACTCCTGGTGGCCCAGGAGGCCCTGTGTCCCAGCACAAGTAGAGGCCTTGTCCGGCAGGCACCCTGAACTCCAGGGTCACCCCAAGGCCACTGAAGCCCCAGTGGCTAGAAATGGGAACAGTTAGCTTCTCCCACCACCCAGGCATGGGGTGAGACACCTGGGTGCCCAGGCCATCTCTGCCACCAACTAGGTGACTGGAAAGTTATGTGTCCTTCCTGAGCCCTCCTTGAACTGGCAGGAAGACAAGGCACTGGCAACCGCTGGCTGAGCCCCTGCTACACACACACCCCTTGAAGACGGCCCTGGCTTCCCAGACAGGCACACAGTGCTCAGAGGGCTGGAGCGGCACAAAGCGACCCGGGACCAGGGTGCCAGCTGAGGGTTCTAAGATCCCCAAGGAGGGAGTTTCTGAGGCTGATGAAGGGATGCGAAAGTCTTCCTGGAGGAGGTGGTGTTTGACCTGAGCTTCATGGATGAGGAAGATGTTCTCAGGTAGAAAAAGAGAGAAGGGACCTTCCAGGCAGAGGGCACAGCGGGTGAAAGCCCTGAGGGTGAAGCATCTCCAGGAGGGGGTGTGATCCTCTGCCAGAGTATGGGATGCCCGAGGGACTCTGGGAACCGAGGTTGGATGTTATATAGAGATTGGAGCCAAACCTGGGAAGGCACTGAATGCCTTTATAAGGAACTTTGATTTCACTTGGCTGGCGATGGGAAAGTACAGCAGGCTCTCAGGAGGAAAATAAGGACTCATTTCAACAACAAATCTTTAATCGTTCTCTGAGCCATTCCCTTCGTCCTTGGTAAACGTAATCTTGGACAGGTTACTTAACGTCCCTCTTCCTCAGTTTCCTCCTCTGTAAAAAGGAGGACTAATACCCACTTTGAAATTGGCTGTGAAGACTAAATGCATTCATACGTGGAAAGCACCCAGCACATAGTTGGCACTTGATAAATATTGTCTTTCCCCATCTCAGAAGCAATACATCTTCAACTCGGCCAACTGCCCCCCAAAGGGCCTTCCGCTTTCTGGCCTTCCACATGGAAACCTCCTGAGACCCCGCTGCTACCTGCCACCCCTCTGCCCCCCTCCAGGTTTCCTGCCTGTGCCCGGCAGCTCCTACCTTCCATGGCTTGGGCCCTGGGGGCTGGGCTCAGCAGTGTCACTGCCACCAGAAGACAGAACTCCAGCTCTGCCAGCATCTCCTCGCTGGGGGCCCCGCAGGTCTGCCGAGCTCGGGGCAGGCCAGGACCTGAGGGTCTGGAGCAGGGGAAAGAGAGGTGAGGCTGAAAGGGCCTCCAAGTTAATGGTGGTGTGAATAATTCATCAGCACCTTGAATTAGTAAGCTGATGCCCAGGTGCTTCCTTCACTCCACCCTAAGGTGACGGATCTAGTGTCACCAGGTTGACACTTCGGAGGTCTGCACTGGCCACACTGGATGGAGAAGGGAAGCAACTTAGGGCTGGGAGGGAATTTGGTGGTGGAGAAACGGCACGAGTTTGGGGGCTAGGCAGACCTGAGATCATCTCCCGTCAGCCTCCAACTGGCCAGGTGACCTTGAACAAGTCATCCAACTCCTCTAGGTCATCTGTCCAGTGGTGCCATTCAGCCCTGCCTCTAGGACTATTGTGGAAATGAAATGTGGTAACATACACTAAAGCACACAGTGAGCGCTTGCTCTAGGTTTCCCTATCCCCCACCGATGGGGGAGTGGGACAGCATCCCTCAGACATGCTTAGATGAGCTCAGAGGGAGAGCGAAGGGAAGAATGCAGCAGGAACAACAGAATGGGAAAATCGTATAGGATAACTCCTAACGCAGTCATGGATCTGGGCCATAGTGTAAATCTGACCAAGGATATTAAATGTTCACCTTTTTATTGATCCACAAACCTGGCTTGAACATCACTATGTGCCAGGCCCTGTGCTAGGAGCTGGGCCGCAGCAATACCCTCAGGGGCGCCGTGTCCGACAGGAAACAGGATCTTTCAATTTCCTCTAGGAGCCCTATTTGGTTCAGTCCAGCCCAAGGCTCATTTCCTAAGCTCCTTCTCTGTGCAGAGCCTGCACCAGGCACAGGGCATCTGAGGTGAACACGGCATGTTCCTGCCTCCCAGTGAGGAGTCTGGGCTCTGGCTTGACAGACAAGGGCTGAATCCAGGCTCTACCCGTCACTGCTGGGCTGCGGGGGCCTCTCTGAGGCCCAGTCTCCTGGGCCACGACAGGAGAGCAGTGCAGTGCCTGCAGTTTGTGGAGAGGATTAGATGAGATAATGTAGGGGAAGCCCAAGCCAGTGCCTGGCTCAGTACATAGGAGGATTTTTATTGACCTCTGAGGAGCTCAGACGTTCATCTTCCAGACCACGTGTTGCCTCTGGCCCAACCTTTTGTCAGGAGGTCCCCAGGGAGCCCTTTGCTGCCAGCACAGGAGGGAGGCCACCTGGAAGGTGTTCAGCCAAGAGCATCGGGAATGGTCAGGCCTGAGGGATTGGCTTACCGGTGGGGCCTGATTGGCAGGAACAGAGAGGTCCTGTGTCCTGAGCCGTCTGAGGGGACCGGAGCCTTTATTAAACACCTACTGTGTGTATGAGTAAGGGCGCTAACCCAGTGCCTGCTGAGCACTGGGCATGGTGCTGAGCCTCCCAGACCTGTGCTTGTGTCCCCCCAGTTTCAGAGGCACATATCAGACTCTCCAACTTGCAGAGCAGGAAGCTGAAGTGCAGAGGGTTTGAGCCACTGTCGTGGGTTGAGTTGCTTCACAAGAAGACCCTGTGGCAGGGAGTTGAGGACAAGGCGTTTATCCGGGAGGTGATCCCCGGAAGCACAGGTAGGGGAGGGGGGCAGGGAGAGGGGAGTGAGAAGGAGCCGATTCAGGGTATGTTAGCCAGCAGCTGACCACCGTGGGCAACCGAGCCTCCACCCCCAAGGGCACCTCTGGGAGATGGTGTTTCAGTGAGGCAGGAGGAGGCAGCGCGTTTGTCCACCACTGCCAGCTGCCCCTGGTGACGGCCGCTCGAGGCCATCCTCTCCCAGGCATTTCCAACCTGCCTGTGAATGCCCCAGTGTCCAGGGGTCGCAGCAGAAGCTTGGGAATGGTGAAGGCCACAGGGTGTGGGCAGGGCTGTGACAGCATCCACTTGTTACACCCTGAATACCTCATCTGTGAAGTGTTTGTCCCACCCCTGGAACAAGCGCCTCTCTCCCTGCACGCCCGTGAAGCCCTAGTCTCCTTTCCCTGCCGTTCTCTCCGCCCCGCCTCACATATTCCTCACCCCATCTTCCCCCTTGGGCTGAGATTCCAGGCTCAGGGTCATCCTGCCCTCCCTTCATGACATCTGCTGGACAAGCCCCTCTGGCCACACTCTCCACCGGGTGTCTGGACCTCTGGGCGCTGCTGGGCAGAGTCCCGTCACCATGTAGTCAGCACCAGCACCTGCACCCGTTGTTCATGATCTCCAGCCTCGTCTAGGGTCTCAGCTCCGCCCCCCAGCCTTTCCATGTTTCCCCAGGTGACTCTCTCTGTGACTCTCCACAGACACCATCCCAGGCGGTCACCAGTCTCCCCGAGACAGTGCATCCCCATCTCTCCTGCAGATGACCCCCTCCCTTCCCGTGGAGGGAAAAAGGCAAACAGTAAAGCAGGAGCCCCTTCACCTTATAGACCTCACCTTGTGCTCATACATACCTCCCCGCAGCCTCTGGGGAAGGTGTTCCCCCCTCCTGTCCGAGGCCAATCCCTCCAACCTGTGCCGGGAGCCCAGCCCTCCCACTGCTTTGGGCACCTAGCTCTCCAGCAGCTCTCGCCTCCCCCATATCCTTAGAGCCTCTCCTGCCCAGCTGGCGTTCTCCATCCACAGTTAAGCGCATGCAGGTCTCCCCACCGTGGCTGGGGATACAAACCCTTTCCGTGAGCCTGTGTTTCCCTCCAGCTCTCACCCCACCCAGCTGCTGGCTTTCACTGCCAGGCTTCTTGAGAGCAGTGTCTACACTTATCTCTTCCATTTCTCCCCTCCTCTCCCTCTTCCAAGGTTTGCTGGGCTGCACTCTCCCGCTGCAGTCAAACTATGTGTCCTGGTCACCAACAATTTCTGGTCACTAGGTCCCATCAGTGTTCCCCCTTTCTCCTAAATAAACCATGTGCTTTCAAATCCTGTCTCAAGGTCTGCTTTTGGGAGAGCCCAAACTGGGATGCACGCCCACTCCTAGAACATCACTGGCAAGAGGAGGTTAGCATGATTCATCCCCAAAGACCAGGCATTTCACTTCCACAGTGCTCCAGAATTTGGGTTAGCAAGAGCAAGGATGGCCGTTGGGCTGGCAACCACCATAGCGCCCCTCGGGTCCCCCACAGCTCCCAGCTGAACTTATCGCCGCCCCTCCCCCAAACTTGCTTCTCCCTCGGGTTTCCTATTCAAGGTGGCGGCACAACCAACCCACCAAGCCAGAAACGACGCAGGAGCTGCCTCGACTTCCCCTCATCCCCATATTGGCAGTCACACTTGAGTCTGGTCACCACTCTAGGCTCTGACACAACTTCTGAAACCATCACTACCTGCTCCCCATCTCACCGGCCCGCGTGTCTCCGCTCTTGCCTGTTCCTTGCCCACCCCACCTACTCTCTACTCTGATCTTTCTAAAATGCTAATCTGACCATGTCAGCCCTCTGCTCAGGATAAAATCCAGAGTTCTCTGCTTGGCATTCATGCCTCTTCAGGACACCCCCCGCCCTCCCACACATGGAGCACATCTCAGACTTTGTCCCCATCCTGAGCGTCACATCCCAGCTACCTGCATCTCTCTCACTTCTCCTACACACCGTGCCCTGAGCCTGGATTGCCTTTCTTTCTGCTCTATCTTCCCTTGACAGACTCTTACTCATCCTTCAAAACATTGTCACCTCCTCCAGGGAGTCATCCTGACCCCACCCCAAGCTGGGAGTATGCCCCTCCCTGGGTGCACCCCTAGCACAGAGAGGACAACCCGTGCTCTGGCCGCCTGGTTTTTCTGTGAATACCCTCCATCTACTTGGGTTTTCATCCCACCGCCCAGCACAAACTTCACCCAGAGCACATCCTTTCGTCGTCTCCATCCCACTGCACGTCCTCCCCCAGCACATGCTAAGTGCTCAGCAGCCATTCATAGATTGAACTGGTCAAGGACACACAGCTAGGAAGTGTCCTTGTCTATTTGAGCCCATGTTCCTCTATGTCCAAAGCGTATGCTTTTAACCCCGCCCAGTGGAGTGGCAGGGTGGTCTGGTGTTGTGGTTAAGCCCGGAGCCCCTAGAACCCGGACCATATGGGTTCAGATCACAACTCTGGCAGTTACCAGCTGTGTGACCTTGGACAAGTCACTTTGCTTCTACAGACATCTTTTCCTTGCCTGTGACATTTCTGCCAGGTGTTGTGAGGGTAGGTGGGTGGGGACCTCTGGCATGGGAGGAGTGCCAGCACACAGTAAGCTGGGAATGCGTGTCTTCCCCTATCCTGTGTTCCAACTGTGTGAATGCCAAAAGCTGCACAGAGGACTTCCCTGGTGGCACAGTGGTTAAGAGTCCACCTGCCAATGCAGGGGACACGGGTTAGAGCCCTGGTCCAGGAAGATCCCACATGCCGTGGAGCAACTAAGCCCCTGTGCCATAACTACTGAGCCCGCGTGCCACAACTACTGAAACCCGCATGCCTAGAGCCCATGCTCCGCAACAAGAGAAGCCATCACAACGAGAAGCACACACACTGCAATGAAGAGTAGCCCCCGCTTGCCGTAACTAGAGAAAGCCCATGCGCCGCAGTGAAGACCCAATGCAGCCAAAAATAAATAAATAAATAAGAAAAATATTTAAAAAAACAAAGGCTGCAAAGAGGCTGCACAGACCCGAGGTCTCGCACATGTCTTTCTAACCCATCTCTCCTTGAAGTCACCTCTGGGTGGGGCCTCCCCTGCCTGGCTGCCCCTCCCTCCAATCAGCAGCCTGGCCTCAACTGCTCTCCCAGTCCCCAGGGGAGGTGGTGGAGAAGGAACAAAGGCTGCCCGCTGCCACCCCGCCAGGGTCACTGGGGAGTGCCTGTGTCATCCACGGGACCGTCACCCTGGGCAGTCGGGGGCCTTCCAGTGTCTTGCTGTGCAGACTCCCACGGCTGAGCCCTGAGGACCCACCTCAAACTTCCAGGGGGTGTCTTGGTGTAGAGAGGACCCTCCTTTCTGCAGCACCCTAGAGCTACTGGACACAGAGCTGTCCCTGAAAGGGCATTGTGAGTATGTCCGGGGGTGGTGTGCTGCCATGCTGCGTCTGTCACTGTGCATATTTGTCTGTCTCTGGGTGCACCTGTGTCGCCATCTGGATACGCTGTTTTCTTGGGCTCATGAGCCCACGTTAGTGTCTATGCGTGGGGCACCATGTACGTTGATCTCTTTGTAGGTGACTGTCCATTGCTGAGTGTGAATATGCCCTTTTGTGACTATA